GAGCTTCTGAAAGCTCGCCTCACACTCCTCTTTCCACTGAAATGGGGCACCCTTCTGGGTCAATCTAGTCATAGGGGTACCAATCGATGAAAATCCCCCCACGAAATGACGGTAGTAACCTGCCAAGCCAAGGAAACTGCGAATCTCAGTAGCTGAGGACGGCCTAGGCCAACTCTGCACGGCCTCTACCTTCCTCGGATCCACCCGAATACCCTCACTAGAAATCACATGGCTTAAGAATGCCACAGAACTCAGCGAAAACTCACATTTTGAAAACTTTGCATATAACTTTTTCTCCCTCAAGGTCTGTAGCACGGTCCTCAGATGCTGCTCATGATCTTCCCGACTCCGGGAATACACCAGAATATCATCAATAAAAACAATCACGAACGAGTCAAGATATGGCCTGAATACACTGTGCATCAAATGCATAAAAGCTGCCGGGGCATTAGTCAGCCCAAAAGACATAACAAGGAACTCGTAATGACCATACCGAGTCCTGAACGCAGTCTTCGGGATATCTGGCTCCCGAATCTTCAACTGATGGTAACCTGAGTGCAAGTCAATCTTAGAGAACACCTGTGCACCCTGAAGCTGGTCAAACAGATCGTCAATGCGAGGCAAAGGATAACGGTTCTTCACCGTAACCTTGTTCAGCTGGCGGTAATCAATACACATGCGCATGGAGCCATCCTTCTTCTTCACGAACAAAATAGGAGCACCCCACGGTGAAACACTAGGTCGAATGAAACCCTTACCAAGCAATTCCTGTAACTGATCCTTCAACTCTTTCAACTTAGGAGGAGCCATACGATACGGAGGAATGGAAATGGGCTGAGTGCCCGGCAACAGATCAATGCCAAAATCAATGTCTCTATCAGGCGGCATGCCTGGAAGATCAGCTGGAAATACATCGGTATAATCCCGTACCACTGGAACAGAATCAACAGAAGGGGTACCAACACTAACATCTCTCACATGAGCCAAATACGCGGCACACCCCTTCTCAACCATGCGCTGAGCTTTAAGAAAAGAGATAACTCTACTGGGAGTGTGATCTAAAGTACCACTCCACTCAACACGCGGAATACCTAGCATAGCCAGCGTCATGGTCTTGGCGTGACAATCAAGAATAGCAAAATGGGGCGACAACCAGTCCATGCCCA